CTTTAACAGATTCAACAAATGATCACAATTACAATATTTTAACTATGGAATTACGTGAAAAAGTTAAACAAGTTAGAAACACAAGAACAAATAATATTCAACCGAAAATAATAGAACATATCAAACATTTACAACAACTTACATATTTAAGAAGAAGAACATTGATGGAAAGCCACCATTGTACATCATCACTCATCGATAAAGCAACCTTATATCCAGAGTTGTTACACGAAATTGTGGTATGTATGCTATACATATTTGTTCACTCTCCGTTTTACTGCTCAATATTTTTTCCACCAAGATGTTGAATGAATATCAATTATTACTTCGTGAAGAAGAACGTAGTAAAACCATCAACGCAGTTGAGCGACATGAAAGGGCTCTGCGCATAACTTTAGATGAACTTATTGGAAAATATAAACTTTTAGGCAATGGAAATGCACCGGTAAGGTACTTTGTGATAGCGAATCAGAACAAACAAAACTGTGTACTGTACTGTATACTTTTTTTTAGCAAAGCCAACTTGATATTAACGCACTGAATGCCCTTTGTGATGATTATCAGTCACGATGTGTTGTTATGAAAGAAACAAAGAAGGTACTACTACTCAGCTTCATTCACCATCGCACCTTATCGCTTTTGGCTGCATTACTGTTTAGGGCACACGTCGTCAACTTGGTTTATATGTAACTGGTGCTGGTTGGAATAAAGTCGATTTATATTTATCAACGAATCTTAAAATGAATATTACTTCATCCGCAAGTGGTTTACATCGTTCATTGTTAGTATTTTTATCTTTATTTCCAGTTCTTCAATATAGTTGTCCTTCTGATATAAAACCGGTCGTCGAACATTTAACTGAACAACTACAGCAAATTAAATGAAAGAACAATTATCGTTATTCTTAATTTTTTGTGTACTACTTGTTGTTAAACTTGTCAATTTTTTCTTCTCTCAATTTTTTTTTCATTTCCATGTGTTTTGTTTACTTGTCTAAAAATTATACTTGTTATGATTTTTATTCATAAATTTTCTCTAAATAAATACTTATTTCCAAGGAAATAAGGAAGAAGACAATCTCTTCTGTGTATAATAGATTGCGGTCTATATCACTGCAAATTTAGTAAGCTACTGCAACAGCTTACAGTCAGCCATTAATCCTGTCAGCCGGCTGTAATCGTCAGCCACAACTGTGGCTGACGATTACAGCCATGAAACCGCCTTACAGTTTCTCATTGGTCGATTCCCGAACCAGTAAAGTTACACTGAGCTGCTTGTGCGGATTAAAAATGTCATTTGGATGGCTTACTAGATAACGATTCGGCAGTGGAACTCAGCCATTGCTCCGGCTTTATGAAATGACCGGATTAATGGCTGACTTTAAGCTGTTGCAGTAGCTTACTAAATTT